ATTTGTTAGAACTAACTTTTTCATTAGCTGATCGAATAGATCAGTGGTATTCAACCTGGAGTACGCGTACCCCCGAGGGTACGCGAAGACATCTTAGGGGGTACGTGAAATTTAAAAATATATATTATTTTATGATAAACACTGAATAATCAGTAATGTAATTTATTTAATTTATTTTAGATGTAGATTATATACTATGTATGACTTGAATTATACACCAACAACTTAGGGGGTACAAAGTTGAAGAGAAATTATATCTGGGGGTACGCGAACAAAAAAGGTTGAATACCACTGGAATAGATAATTAAGTTGGTCAATACATTTACAGACTTTTATATAATCTAAATGTTCTCTACCGTCCGTGATTCATTGAGCCATATCATAAACGAATTTAATCCAGTCTACTACTTCATAAATGTCGTCTTTAATATCTAATTTAATATTAATTTTAAATACATTTCTTACTTAAATTATAATCACCCCCCTTTGTAGGAGGCGTCAGTCTGCAGACTAAAGAAATTCTGTCTCTATTTGATCATGAGGGTGCATTATGTCCAATTCAATCAATATACTTCAAGTTTAACATGTTGAAAGGCATCTCAGAAGGCCTGACAGGCCAAACACTCCACCCCTAATGTGTACGTATTACACACGCGTTAAGATTGCGTCGTTTAACTGTAGGGGCGATACACGGTTACATCCCTAGGGATTATCTTCTCTTTCATAGATAAAAGACAGATGCTTAGTGTATGAAACAGCGCACAATGAATATAAACCGGATGATTCAGTATTGCCCTTTATAAATTTGAGATTACGTTGTGTGAAGTATGTAAATTCGCGTTGGTTCGCGAGCGTCACTGTTTTGATTTATAACCCCTCAGAATTTATATTTATTGCAGATTTTTTATACTAATTTATAGATTGTGATCAAAACGCCTGAAAAATTTTCAGTACGCAACCCGCTTAGCATCAGCTAAATTTCTACACGCTTCGGATAAGATAAAATTCCTTACGTGTAATTATTAATTTTGTTGCAGGCTGGTAATAGGAACCAGGGTCATTCACTTTCATCCCCTAAATTAGGTACGCGTCACCACGGATTTTATATATTTCCTTATTTATCCACTTGGTGTTTAAATTTATAACAAATCTGAGTCGATTATGACACTACCAACATAAGTACCACACTGGCCAAGAAATTTTCCTAAGGAAATCTCTCGGCTTGTGAAGCATATAAATTATAAATGGATGTATCTCAAAGCAGAGATGTTATAATATTCCTTAAAACTATGAAAGATTAAAAAATTGAATCATCCGATACAAATAATATTTTTTTTAAAAAAAACTGACGTTACATGAGTTTCAAGCTGTACAGAAATATTTTACGACCGTAAAGTATGATCCCATTAAAGAATTTTGTAGACAAAATAATTCTTGATACATTTTTGATAAAAATTATAATTTTTTATAATAACAATGATATATTAATTATTTACTCAACCAGAAAAAGAAAACTTTTGGATTATACGACAAAGGAACAAAAATTTATTCTCAGGTAAACAGACGAGTCAGATGAATTCTGTGAGTTAATATACGCATTTGAGGCCGTTTAAACACGTTACTAACCGTGGAGCCTTTGTTCTGCTCCGTTAGTACGAAAATTATCTGGGCTCTGTTCCACACTTCATTCTGTCGTCGTAGTGTGACAAGGGAGAGAGAATTACTGCTCCAAGTTAATGATGAAGAATGGTTCATTTCTAGAGCGTATTGACTGTAATCAGAGATTCCTTGCATCTGCTACGTTCAACTACGCTTCGGAAGGGGGAAACTGGTACAGTTAAAGTTAGAAGTAGGGATATTTGCATTTAAGAGGGTCATTCGCGTAGTCGTAAATCAGATTCGCACAACGGACATACGTTAATTCTCACGTTAGATAAAATGTGGCTCTGAGCGTTGAAATAAGTTAAGATTTCCTTCGTATTGAGATTTTGCATAAAAGATCTCAGCGCAGTGTCTAAGCCTCAGCTCAAGGAAGTTGGCATTTGTCTTGAGAATATTCAGTCCAGTGTCGAGCTTTGTGAGCGAAGAATTGAATGACATCTTTCCTGGGGCGATGTTGTTGAATACTCAGTTTGTACAAAAAAGTGCTGTGACTTTCGTAAAACTCAGGAAGGTCCATCGATTTCGGTTCCATATTTACAATTGTGGCTACTGAGTATCCTGAATGTGGTAATTTCTGATGAAAGTTGACGTCCTCAAAACAAAAAAATCACTTGCATTCAGTTCCGGTAAACATCATGAGTTCCAATCACTGAATTATTAAGCATTGTCTTAAGCACACCAAATATCAGGGAACAACAACAACAAATCAAAATGACACTCATGAGGAAGTTAGGAGGAGATTAAATTCTGGAAACGCTTGCTACTTCTCAGTTCAGAATATTTTGGCTTCCCATCTGATTTCTAAGAACCTGAAAATTAAAGTATACAAAACAATAAT